ACACGCACACACGCACACACGCACACACGCACACACGCACACACGCACACACGCACACACGCACACACCCGCACACGCACACACCCGCACACACCCGCACACACACGCACACACGCACCCTTCTCTCGCCCTTCTGAGCCGATATGAGCGGCTCATGCCCATCGCTTCGATCTGACCGCACAGCTTCAAGGCATCGCCATCTGTCACTGCAAGCCCTGCACTCGAGCGGGAGGAAGCATCGGCTCTTTCAATGCCGTCATTCCAGCCGACGGTATTACCTTTACAAAGGGAAGTCTGAAAGAGCTGGGCAATTATCAGGATACCGAGACTTCTAGTGGCAATCCCATGGCCCGTGTGAGTGGTGTGGCCGGTGCAAGCGGTATGAGGGGAGAGGCGTTCGCATGCAAAAGGGGGAGGGCGGGGAAGCTCGCACAGCCTGGCACTGCAGCTGATCATACCGCATCTCATCTCTTGCTGTGTTGTGTCTCACACCCCGCCGCGCGTCGTCATCTGCGCGCAGCACTTTTGCGCATCTTGCGGTTCCGCCATCATCTCGGTGAGTCGTGCGCAGTTGCGGCCTGCTTTGTGGGGGGCGGGAGGGGAGGTGCAGGGTGTCTTGCATGCTCACAGCACAAGCTTTCTTTTCCCCGTCACGCTTGACGCGAGCGCAGATTCCCAAGGATTCTCCCATCGGCTTCTTCAAAGTATCTTCCTTGGACGATGCGCAGGCGTACATTGGCAGGGATCGGAAGCCTGATCAAGTCATCTTTCAAAGCAGAGCGCCAGACTTTGTCAAGAAGCTGGATTGGGGAGAGGGCGTAAAGACGGCATCAGAGGGCTGATCCATCTGCAGCGGACATGCCGCTCGCTCCGGCCCCGTTCTGTGTTTGCTGGCGCACCGCAATGTCAGACGATTTCTCCTGCCAACGAGTTGTGACTCTTGCGTGCGAGAGTCAATGATTCATTCGAACGCATTGTCGAGCGAGTGTCATCGAGTACTGTCCAGCATACCATCCGCGATTGTGAATAGCGTTTGAGCACGAAACACGCGAGTCACCGTAAGTGGATGTGCTATACTGCGCGACTTGTCATCGCGCGAGTGCGCTCTCGTCTGCTTCTCATTGGACCAGATAAGCGTCGTATACCTTGACGACAGAGCAGCGCAAAAAAAAATTGTGGCACAGAGAGCAAATCATCATTAGCATTCTCGAACGTCACTTCTGAGATTCCCGGAGGACCAACGTGACTCGAGCGCTGGCTGCGCGGCTCGCTTGACAAGTGACTCACCACGCTGCTTGTACCTCTCACAGCCGAAGCGATGACGAGGCTCTTGCAAGCCTTTCTAATCTCCTCATGCTCATCCTCGCACTCCAAGATCAGTCTCAGTCTGAAGCAATATTCTCCCACCTCCACCTCTTCCTTGCCCTCTAACAGCTTTTGTCCAGCTTCTGCCGAATGACCGTAGCGAGTGCCGGATGATTGAACGTAGAGCGTGCGACCTGAGCGGAGGAGAAAGGCGTAGCGGGCGTCTAGCCAAGCTGTACCTTCTGCGTCCGTGCGCAAATAGTCGGCCCCTCCTGCCTGCAGCAAGCGAGCGCCGTGAAATGGGGATGTCGCATCGCTGCATGCCTCCCCCAGCACAAAGCCGCGTGGGAGCGATCGCATCTTTGTCAAAATTCCCTTCTGATACGTTGTGCTGCGTCACCGTCACCCTCTCATCCAATGCCGGAGCAATCGACCACTCACCTGCTCCTCAACACTGCACTCTCTAGCGGTATGATTTTGCGCACACCCACACTCGTCTGCCCGACAATATGCACGGATGCAACGGTACATTCGCACCTGAAAAGCGGTACGAGCGCAGGAGCGGGAGGTTGGAAAGAGGTCAATTTGGTGCCATCTAGCGGTCGACAGTATGGTGAGACGGATGGCGCAGCGTCGGAGCTGATCTCTTCGAAGGACATCTTGCAAACTGCCTCGACACAATGCGCGAGATGAATGAGAAGCAGAAAGCAATCAAGCAGAAGCGCGCCGCTATTCACCAACGGCGATGGAGCCAAAAGTGACGCGTTGTCGTGCAACAGAAGCTCAACTGTGCGCGCGTGCATGAGCAAGTCATCTGTGCCCACGAAAGTCGCAGCTGCGCGCCTCGATGGCCTAGCCAGCGGCCGCATTGTCAGGGTTGACGTGTCGTGCAGGCCCGACCGAATACAAACGTCGATACTGTATGGAGGCAGACTGGGCATCATGTGTGCAAGCGCTTAGTGCAGAAGAACGCGCTGCCGCTCGTGGCCTCGAACGCCTCTCTCTCTCTTCCTCTCTCTCCGTCACACCACGCAGGCGTATTATACAATATGTGCGGTAATCCTGTCATATTAACAAGTCATGCAAGGTTGCACTTTGCAAAACGTACATCCTCTCCTCTTTTCGCCGCGAGAGCTCTGCTGCAGACCGAACGGCAATGTCTCAAAAGAGCCTCGCAGACATGCCCTGCGATTACTTCTTCCTTCTGCTCAAAACACACTGACCTCCCGCCGCTTGTCCGTCGTAGTGCCTCATTCCTGCTTGCTCCCATAAGCCGAATCGTGAATGGTGACGGCTCTTCCAGAAGGATCGCTAGCGCAGCCCCAATCGCCTCTGGGTACCCATCTAACAGCTGTAGAAGCGGCAGCAGGGCTGGGGAACCAATGTTCGAACTGCTCCCTGATCCAGTAAGCTTCCTTGGTGTCTGGGGTGTCGAGCGGGTACCTTTTTGCTCTCTGGTTGAACTTGGCATCCGAGATGGCGCTCTCTGCGTGCGACTTCATGCCGTCGATCCAACTGTAGCCTACTCCGTCACTGAACTGTTCCTTTTGCCTCCACAGGATCTCAGTGGGCAAGTAAGGCTTCTCATCGCCCTCTGGAGTTAGATCGAACGCCTTTCTAAGCAAGTACTTTTCCATATGAGGCCTGCCGTCCTTGTCCTTGGTCTGCAGCGTTCCCTTGTTGAACTCCTTGTGCTTCGCATCGACATTCATGCACACATCCAAGAACGCCCTGTCCAGGAAAGGAACACGAGCCTCCAATCCCCACGCCATTGTGCTCTTGTTGGCTCTCAGGCAATCCGCAGTGTGAAGGTTCTTGACCCTCCTCACGCACTCTTCGGCAAACGACTTGCTATCGGGAGCAGCGTGGAAGTACAAGTATCCGCCAAAGATTTCGTCCGAACCTTCCCCAGAGAGGACCATCTTGACGCCCATGGCTTTGATCTTGCGCGAGAGCAGATACATCGGAGTTGAAGCTCGAACAGTGGTCACGTCGTAGGTCTCCAGATGGAAAATGACATCGGAAATGGCGTCCAGACCTTCCTGGACCGAGAACGTGTACTCGTGGTGCACGGTGCCCAGGTACGCAGCCGCAGCACGAGCAGCCGCCAGATCGGGAGAGCCTGGTAGGCCAATGCTAAAGCTGTGAAGTCGAGGCCAGCTCGCCAAGTTTTCCTCCCCCGCCTCTTCGTCAAAGCCCACAGCCAGACCGTCCGGCGCACCTCCAGTGCCCAAGTCAGGTGTGGAGGTTCCGGTGCTGTTGGCTGAGGCGCCAGACCTTTCGGCCGCTAGAGCTGCTGCTCGCCTCTCGGCGCGCTTGGCCTGTATGGCCTCGTAGCGCTGCCTTTGCGCATCCGCCACCTTGTTCGTCTCGCGCGCAGCGACCGCAGCGATCAGACTGCTATCCAGTCCACCCGAGAGCAAGACTCCGTACGGCACTTCGGACATGAGTCTCTTCTTCACTGCCATTTCCAGCTTTTCCCGGATCAACGTGAGATCTGCATCACCAGTGGGCAGCTTTGAGGCATCCACATCTCCATCGATCCAGTTGGGAGAGTAGTATCGCGTGATCTCTTTGCCCTCGCCCAGCTGCGAATCGTACACGTGACCAGGCGGGAAACTGTCGATGATTTCACACTCTTCGTGGATGGCTTTGAGCTCGCTGGAGAAGTAGACTGCACCTGGGCTCTTGTAGCTGGAAGCGACGTAAAAAGTGGTGATGCCGATGGGGTCTCGAGCAGCAATGACTCGGGAAGGGGTCACGCTGGTGTCCAGCAGAACAAAGCTGAACATTCCATCCAGCATCTTGACAAAGTCCACGCCATGCTCGCGGTACAAATGGATGATGACCTCGCAGTCGGAGTGCGTCTTGAACACTGCGGACTGATCTTTCAGCCCTTTGCGCAGCTGTCGATGGTTGTAGATTTCTCCGTTGACTGCCAAGATGATCTTGCCATCTTCCGAGACCAGAGGTTGTGCGCCGGTGTCTGTAAAGAAGCACAGCATTAGAGATCGACATGTCAGCTATGGCCTTTCGCACTCCAGGGGTGACTGTATGCGCTCCGATGGGGAGACAGAGCGGCCTGCACTGCGCAGCGCTAGACCAGACACTGCTGTATGCTCGCGCGCCCCGATCACACTCACCGACACCGACGATGGCCAGACGCTCGTGGCAAAGGATGCTTCCCAGCTTTGGTTCATCCTTGCTCGCTTCGTTGGTCACCACGCAGCCGCTCCAATCTGGACCTCTGTGTCTGATGCAGCGGCTCAAGTTGAGCATGCGAGGCCTGTAGGAGGCGGCATCGGGATGATGAATGCAGGCTAGGATGCCGCACATGATGGACGGCCGCCAAGCTTCTGGCGGCGGGCGCGTTAGAGGCTGAAGAAGGTTGGGATGTGCGCGTTGGGTCGAGAGAGGTGGTGAAGGGAGAGGAGGGCGTTGGAGGAGGTGCTTGGCTCAGGACTCCATGCAGCAGTTGTGAGCAATAAACTCGTGCGAGGGTCACGAGGATCACGAGCGAGGGGTTACAGCGCCTCGACCCCAATCAAGGTGAAGGCTCACTCACGACTCAAGACTTTCTTTCGACTTTCTTCTTCGCCGCGCGAGCCTCGCCTCCATCTCATCTTCGAGCGCATGCGCGCGCGCCCTTATCGCGCCTTTGGGTGCTCGCAAGTATAGTCGCGAGTGCTGCTGCAGCATACGCGCGACTCATGACTCGACGACGGCGTGGACCGCGGGCGCAGATTCTGGATTAAAATCAAGATTCAAACCGCATTCAATTCGCAGAAACCCGTGACGCCTCGGCTAGCTCAAACGTGCACAGGCGCGCAGGCCGGGTACGCCCTTCTTCAAACAGCTCTAAATCCGCGTCTCTCTCGCAGCTTTCATCTTGTATTTTGCTTGAAAATCCAATAAAGCTTACTTGACCAAGCCAACAAACGGCAGCAAGCTAAGGAGTCAACAGTCACGCATCGCAAATCAAAAATGTCAATCTTGAATGAAGGATCAGGATTAAATTCATCAAAAAATATGCATCTTGGATCAATCCTCATCAAGAACTACGTGAATTTTGAAATTCAGCCAGGTAGACTTTTCAAGGTCAGATTAGAATTTGAATTTTGAATGTGTACTCTTTTGACTTTTGATGTTCGAATTTGAATAGTGAACTCAAATCTCAAGTCCACTTTGCGCGACAAGCTTGATTAAAATCACGAATACTCACGAAATGATGAGTCAAGAGTCTTGGCGGCATGCGCTTACCGCGATTCACGATGCGTCGCTGGCCCCACGCCTGCACCGGCGCTGTGCATGCATGCATGCATCTACACCGGTAGGTACATGCTGTATGCTGCGCGAAACGCGACCGGCCGCTTGCCGCCTCACTTGCACGACGGTGCATGATGAGGCTGCTTGCGGTGATCGTACCATCCCATGCATCCATCCCATCCCTCGCATTCCGCGCTGTTGCAGCTCACAGCCACGAGCTCCATTCACGATTCACTCGCTTCCCAAATCGCACTCGCGACAGCACCTCGCAGCGCCGTTCTGAGTTTGCTCAGATTTGGCCACAATACCCGGCTCGCCAGACACCTGTCATCCCACGCGCACGCGCACTTGCACCAACAGCACACCCTCCCGCCTACCAGAGCTTCAGCTTCCACCGCGAGAGGCGGACATCGAGCACGGCAAATAAAGAACGATTCGCGCCGTTGGGCGCCCCGCGAGACAACGAGTCACTCCGTACGTGGACAGGAGGTGCTCTGCTGCGACGATGCCCATAGCCTCGACTTCAGCACGATTGTCAGAGTCCGATGAGCGCTGCGAGAGCATTGTAAGGCGGTGCGCAGGCTGCGCACATTCCCTTTTGGCATCTGGAAGCAGAGTGGAACGTAAAAAGGTAGCGCAGGCGAGAAAGACGGGGATGTATGCGCCTGGACGTGTAGACAGCGACCTCTCTACCGACTGGTTAGGGCATGCGCACAAGCGTAGCAGACGGATCACGCCTCTCACCTTCAAGAAAAGGAGGAGCGGCGCATCGAGTTCGAACATGCGCCGCAGATCGATCTGGCTGATTGCTCTCGCTTGCGCTGCCATACTCTGCGCGAAGCCCACACTGGCTCGAGAGGAGGCGAGCGTCAATTTTCAGTCAAGAGATGTGCTCGCTGCGCGACAAGCCTCAAGCCAGAGTGAGGCGCTGGGCAGCACGTCAGGCTCGTTGTCAGCGTTGCCCTCCGAAGCTACTGAAGGCATCACCTTTGTTCCTTCCAACACGCTGAGCAACGGTTCCTCGATCTCCACTCTGGGACCAGGAGAGGCGACCAGTACGATTTTGTATCCCACTTCTAGCTCGGACGGCTCCGATGAAGATTCGGTGGCTCAGTTGCCAACTGGAGTGAGCAGGATGGAGGGACAGCCAACACCCACGAGCTCCGGCCAGCCGCACGATCCTCTGCTGGCCATCATGCCCGACTTTGCATTCAGCATGCCCGCTCAGATTGTCGCCAACGGCATCAACTTGGCGCTCGTCACCATTCTTGGCATTCACCTGCTCTTCACGGCTCAGTACCACTACCCACTGAGCTCGAGAAATTACCTCTTGCAAGCAGTCAGCACAGCAATGCTTCTTATCAGCCTAAGCGTGCAACTGAACATTGTCCTCAGGAAGCTCCACCATCAAAGCCACACGTGGCCTTACATGTTCGCATACATCGGTGTTCAGATTCCCCCTCAGGACGGCACCTGGACGACGGTGCAGGAGGCCTTTTTCCTGCTCATGCGTGCTTGCACAACTGCACTGGCACATGTGAGTCGCAAACCTCTTTGGCCTTAAGCTGCGTCAAAGCATTGACCCTCTTTCGCCTTTTACTGTCCTCAGTTGACGCACATTCAATTCTTGACGCTGCTGTTCCCATCGGCGCTGGAGGCGCGTTTGATATTGTGGATGTTGGGCCCGCTGGCTCTTGCGGCTTCTGGCATGGAGTTCACCGCTCTCTCCTCATCTGACGACGTCAAAACCTCAGACCTTGGAGATGCAATTCGGAACATTTGCAACAGCACATTGACCCTGCTCTACACTTCTGCGCTGCTGATCTGGGGCCTCTTGGTGAATCGCAGAAGAGCCTGGAGGACAGATGGAGGGACAGCTGCTTTTGGTGGTGGTAGCGTTGGGTTGGCCATCATCAACACGGCCATCAGCTTTGTTGAGATCGCCTTTGATCGCGTTTGGTGGCTGCCGGACATGTGTTGGACACTGACAATCTGGCAAAGCTGGCTCGGCTTCTGGTGGTGGGTCGGCTCAGGCATGGTGAGTATCGCGTCGATGGTGATGCACACCTGCGCAGGCTCACATGCGTTGGCCACGCGCATTCTACAGGGCATTGGTGAGGTGGAAGACAGAGTCGAGCGACAAGAGCGCTTGCGCAAGCGTGAAGAACGCATCAAACGCAAGCGGGACCGAGAAGAGCGACATCGGAGGAAGGCCGAGGCTGCCGCTGCTACAGCCGCTGCGAATGGCACTGAAGCTGGCAGTGGAGCTGATGGCGACACTGCTTTGATAGGCCACATGAGGAGATTCAAAGACAAGATGGTTGGCGAGACGAACGCTAGATTGCGAAGACCACATCACGGTTCATCTTCTGAACCCAACGAGGAGATCGAATTGGAAGGCGTCTCGGGAAGTGAGGCGCGCAACGCTGCAGAAAGGAGGCATTCACCCGAAGCTGATTTGCGAGGTGTGGAGGTGCACGATGAGGCCCGCAATGGGCCTCCAGGCACGGTCGTGGGAAGCAACAACCCAGCGGATGATGCCTTGACTACAGCTGGATCCTCCAGCGATACCCATCCCACATCCACCTCCGCTCCGGGCTGGTTCCAACCGCTGGGACAGGCGCTCATCTCCTACACGCCCAGTTGGATCACGCGTCGTTACAACAGATTGAGAAGAGCCCACGAAGTGGCAGCTCGTCGAGCAGCTACCGAGCAGTCTGTGCTCCGGGATCAGATGTTGCACGCGTCTAGGTCGACGAATGGACCCGGACTGAGGCACATGATGTTTGATCCGCGCATCGAGCGTCGAATGGGCATGGATGAGGGAGAGGCTCGGAGGAGCAATAGCGCCAGAAGGTCCGCAACGCAGGTCCGGCACGTGCCCGCTTTGGGTCTGGACGGACATGCAGGAGCGGCCAATCTGAGCGCTGAAGCTACCGAAAGCATGGGCCGCGATAGCAGCGGCACCCTTTCAGGGGAAGGCACGGGCAATGCCACGAGCACAGATCAGAGGACATCTTCATCTGAATCTCGGAATAGGGACACACCGCAAGCTTCGCCCACGATGACCTTCCGTGAAGTTGGTCAAACTACTTCCGCTCGCTCTTCGTCTCGCGAGCAAAGTCGATCGAGAACTCGATCGGCACATCATCTATCTACACCACCAAGCGCCGTGGCGCAAGAGGCCCGCCCAACGACAACGACGACGACAGGATCCGAAAATCCCTTCTCGACGCCCCGAATCGAGGCGCGGGGAGCAGGAGCTCGTCCTCATGAGGAGGACTGGCTCGACGAAGGACCGGTCATCATTTCTGGGGGTGGTAGAGCAGACGATTACGATGACCCACCAGCAAGCCGTGCAGGAGCTCCTTCAGGACGCGAGCGCCAATTCGCTGAGAGCCAGGCCTCAGCGACAGCGCGACACGATCCCACTCGCGGTGATGCAGGCACTAGCCCGCGCTGGGCCTTCGCGAATAGCATTCGACAGCTTCGAAGGACGGACAGGTCTCATTATCCTTGATTCTACTCGTCCATCGGAGGGCTGCGCGTTAGCTCGCTTGGCAGTGTTTCTTACACAGAGTCTCGTAACTTTTCCATCTCGTCGTCGTCTGAAGCCGACATGTACTGTAGATTGTCAAATTGACCCGCCCATGCTCGTTTGCTTCTCTTATGTGTTGCCTCGATTAGTATGCTTCCCTCACTCTTTGTAATCTCACCGACATGATAACAAAATGCGCGTGCAGTCAGGCGGGGAGAATTTATTCGGAGATGCGTGCATATTATATTCGGAGATAACGGCGTATTCTGCCGTACACATACGCGACCCACTTTTTTGTACGGCAGTCCTGCCCATAAAATGAAAACTCCACTTATACGGCATTTGCTGCCGTCCCCAGCATCTGACAATTTTGGGCACTTCGACTTTTGTGGGACGCGTCATACGGCAGAATAAGCCGTCCCCAGCAATCAGCAGCGCGTGCAAGCCTGCGCGTGTGAGAGATGCGCCATACGGCGCAATACGCCGTACGGCTTGTTTCTCATTAGAACGTGTGCGACGCGTTTGACTCTGACCGCACTACCGCCATCACCACCCATATATTGCGCTCTGCATCGTCCATCTGCCCCACACAGCGCCCCCTACAGCATCATGAGCGCCATCAGAAGGTCTATCACCCGTCCTGAGCCACTTGTTGTTGCTCCAGAGCCTCTTCCGTTGCGCGAGAGCATCCCACGAGCTGAGACAGACGAGGTGTCATTCCATACACCTGCATCCTCATCAGATCGCTCTCAAATGCCTGAGCCAGCCATCCCCCAGGAAGTCTTCCATCTCCCAGCTCCTCCTGAAGGTGTATGGGGGTCTATTGAAGCATTAGAGGCCTACATCAATGGGCACGCATGTGCACATGGCTATGGACTTGCGCGCGCTAGCACCCAGGCAAATGCTCGTTACTGGCGATGTGCTTGCGGTAGAGCCTACAATCCTCTAGATGAGCCTTCTGATCTCTCAAACGGATGCAAGAGACGTACTAGGATGGAAAAGTGCCCCTTCAGCATTGCTGCTTACAGAGTCACAGAGATAAGTGATGCGCAAGGAGGTGAGTTATCCAGTACGGCGCATGTCTCTGTGCAGAAGCTTTTCTTGCGCGCTGTGACACTCATCCTTGCTTTTTGCCGATACGGCACCAGGCGCTGTACAATTCATACCCGGGCAAGCCAATCCATGGCAATTCAGAGTACACCGCGCCTACCACTCACACCCGTCTGACGTCGATGCATATGCCCTTCCCAAGTACCGCAGGCTCACTGAGACCAAAACAACACTCGTCTATGCTCAGCATTCACAAGGAATGATGCCTGGAAGAATTCTTGACGGTCTTAAATGGACAGACGTGCGCACCTCTTGTCTTCTGAAGCACACGGTTTGCAATGCAATTGTGAAAGAAGAGAAGCGGCTCCAGGACCTAGGGCCAGCTCGTGGACCACTTCAAAGACTGCTGTACGTGCTCACTGGCCATGAAGAGGCCATCCACAGCATCAATCGCGAAGAGACAGGTCATCTCAGCGGCCTTTGGATCACCAATGAAGGCGCACTGGCTCTTGCTCTCAAGCATCCGTCGGTGTATTACATGGACTGCACATATCAAACCAACACCTATGGACTGCCTCTCTTCCACATCGTCGGCATCTCTACAACAATGCAGACATTCACAGCAGGCTACTGCTTTCTTGCTTCAGAGCAGCAGGCTGACTACAAATGGGCACTGCGCCAGTTGCGCATTGCTCTCGGCAATCGCAGCCCCATTACCATCATCACAGACCGAGATTGTGCTCTTATGAACGCCATTGAAGAGGTCTTTCCAACGGCGCGGCACCTCTTCTGCCGTTGGCACATCCATCGTAATCTGGAGACAAATTGTAAGAATCACCTCAGTACGGCGGACTGGGACGTTCTAGTGGCCGACTGGCAGCGATGCGTATACGCACCAACGCATGAAGACTTTGAAGACGCAACGCTACAGATCTTTGACCGATGGAGGTGTCACCCACACATCAGAGCCTTCATCACAAGCACATTATGCTGGAAAGAGAGGTTTGTCGCCGCATGGACGCAGCAGATCTTGACGTTCTCTACAAGCGGTACCTCGCGGGTCGAGGGTGCGCATGCACACCTAAAGAAGAACTGGTTGACTAGGAAGAAAGGCTCCCTCGTCTACGCCGTTGAGCAGATGCTCAAGTGCCTCAAGATGCAACAAGATGAGATCAAGGGCAAGATCAACATCGATCTGCAGAACCAAATGCAAGAGGTACGCAATAACACGGCTTTTGCACCCGTCCGCAGACACATTGGTCGCTATGCCATAGAGACGACATGGACGCAATGGGTCAAGGCTTTCAATACATCTCCGTCGCCTTGCGAGGTCTGCAACTGTGCTCACTGTGGAAGCTGGGGCCTGCCTTGCGCACATCAATGCGCATTCATCCAAAGGGAAGGGAGAACACTCGAAATGGAAGATTTCCACGTGCATTGGTGGAACAATGGCGCAGGAGTTGTCTTTGGCCCTGAACTACCGACCCTTCTTGAACCTCGACAACGTACGCAAGAGAGGACGCCTCGTACGGCCAGGACTGGTAGGTTCTTGTTGTCTTGGGAAGCAGATGAGGTGCGACAAGTTCAGGGCATCATAGGCTTGCCAACGGAAGACGATGACAACATACATCAGCAGACTCTCACCCCATTGACAGCGCCTTCAACAGCATCTCAGAATGGGCCTTTCAGAGGCCCGTTCACTTGCTCAGGGAACAGTGGCAATGTCAGAGTCAGTGTTGATGTGAATGGAGGCAATGGAAGCTCTGGTACGGCCACAGCCGACGTACAAGGGGAAGATCAACCCCCGCCGCCAGGGCAGCGCAGTACGGCGATCAATGCCATATCCCTCTTTCCTTTGGCTAACGCAAGATTACGCATTGGTACAGCACCTGGTGACGTACCGCCTATCAGGAATCCTAATGATGCGTCGCCTGAACCATCTCCTTTTCCTGGTACGGCGCTACTCTCCGTATCGCAAGAGGGTCGATGGAACGCCACTCAACAATCGGACTTATCTGAGACAGTGAGGAGTTATGACCTGAGTACGGCGGTGGACGCCGTAACTAATGCATCATCACACCTAATCAATGCATCTTAGTCACAATGTACGGCATCCACGGCCGTTCAGAGAGACAAGACTGTCAACCCAGCAGACTTGCTGCGGTTCGATGCCAACGGTGCTCGTCTTGGACCTGACGGTCGTTGCGATCGTCGAGATGTGCTCACACCTGGTGGTCCTAGGCGTTCTCGACGTCTCCGATGCACACGATGTCAGCAAGAGGGGCATATGAGGACAAATAGACGCTGTCCTCGCTACCAAGCGCCGGCGCCGCAAGCATGCGCACCAGAGAGTGATGTAACTTCAGATCTTCATGACTAGCAGAGAAGCCCAGCACAGAAATGCATCTATTCGTCGTCCGTGAGCAAATCCTCCTCCTCGTCTTCATCGTCCACCTCCTCCTCATCACCGCCTTCCTCCGCTGTGTTCTCTGGCAGCAGGCCCTGCTCCAGCAGCTCGTCGGGGTCAGGATCGCCGGTGCGCTTGCGTGGCGTCAGCTTGGCAAATGACGAGGCTTGCTTTGCTTCCTCTGCCTTGGCATTGGCGCCTTCGTCAGGGAGCTTAGGATCCTTTGTGCTCTCTACGGTGCTGTCGGTGAAGCCGTCAGGAAGACCGACTACAAGAACCTTTGTCAGGGTAGGATCCTTTGTGCTCTCTACGGTGCTGTCGGTGAAGCCGTCAGGAAGACCGACTACAAGAACAAAGTCCCTCCCGTAGTTGTAGTCTTCGTTGGGATGACGCCGGGTGCTGAACTTCACATCCTGGCATAAGAAGACGACTTCTCCAGGCAAGACTTCGACGTGAACGTTGTAGTCGGTCAACGTAACCAAACAAGCGTCACCAACCGCAGAGAGCCAAACAAAGGACACTGTCTCATCCACCAGGCCAGAAGGAAGGAGCAGATTGCTGCTCATCTCGCCGTTGATACTGACACCAACTTGAAGCGAGACCGCGCTCGTCGTCCACTTTGCTACTGGCAGAGCGGCAATCACCTGCTCCCAACGCTTGCCACTGCCAGAGAAGGAAGTCTTGACGTACTTGTCCGTGTTGTAGCGGCGGCCGTGGGTGAACCTGCTCACCCATCGATCGCTGTACTTGCGGACAAAGGTGAGCATTCTGAGCACATTTGTCCGATTGGTCACCCCTTGTTGACGTGTGTCCTTTGTACGCCAACCCCTCTGCAGAGTTTCATCCCTCATGATGTACCCCAGATTCATCATGTACGCCTTCTTTCCTTCGCCTACAATCTGGGCAGGGGGGAGGCTGATCGACTGCAAGGTCAGACAGAGTTGCTTGAGGATTGCGAGATCTTTTTTGTGCGCATTTCCATGGTCGAAAGGGGTGCTCATAAATCGTTGAAGAACTGTCTTGTTGTTGTTGGTTGTTGCAATTACATTCCTACGCACTGCAAATGGCTCTCCATCTGCTCGTGACTCCAATCGCACACCCCTGATGATACGAATCTGGGAGCAGTAACCCTAAGTCAGGAGAAGGTGAGAGAGTCAAGACAGAGATCAGAGCAAAACTCACTGGCGTGTACTCCCTGCGCCGTCTCTGAGTCTTGGGTGTCTTGCCTTGCTGCAGCTTCTTCTTCTGCCCCTTCGCCTTTGCCTCTGGGAGGGCCTCCATGAGCGGAATGCATTTGTTTGGGTCGGGTTCTGTTGCTGAGATCTGGGTGAGGCGCAAGGTCAAGGTACCCTTAACGGCCTCGTCAACGGTCATGCGGTCAATGCGACGCTTCTTTGCGTGGCTTGGCTTGGCAGCAAAAGACATCTTGACGGGTTGTAGAAGGGTAGATGAGAGCTTAGAATGCTGTAGAGCTTGACTTATAAGATCAATTGGACAGAATGTAGTAGGAAGAGAGGCTGGTAGACGCGCAAGTCGATGGTGAAGAAGCAGATTTGGATGCACGCTTTACGACCGCAGCCGCCGTACCATGTGGATTTTGGGCAGCCATTTACCGAGAGTCACAAGCATTCAACGGCAAAATGCGCTGTACGCAAGTATGCGAACATGAATTATCAGGCGGGTGTGCCTCGCTCGCTTCAATTAAGCATGGTTGTCAGATATACGGCATATTCTGCCGTACGGATTCACAGCGCGTAAATGCAGGCGGTGTACGTGCCTTGATCTTGGAACGGCAGAATAGGCTGTTGATGAATGCCTGCCTTTCCAAACGGTGTAATGCGCCGTAAACACAAGATATGCACAATTTGGCGCTAAAACAACCTTGTGCATGACAAAAGGGCTATACGGCGTGTAATGCCGTATAAGTGCAGTGGGTCGCGTATGTGTACGGCAGAATACGCCGTTATCTCCGAATATAATATGCACACATCTCCGAATAAATTCTGCCAGTCAGGCGTCTCGAACACACTCTCGTACGCGCACGTGACCGGCCCGAGTCTGCAGGGAAGAGAGGTATGCGGTGACTCATCCTCGACCTCCACGTTGGCTTGCCCGGCCATAAAGTCACGATGATTCACGAGTTACTGATCCGTTCGTTGTTCGACCTGTTGTCCATCATCCATCCGCTTGTCGACGGAGTGGAGGAGACGTTGAACGGAGCTCTTTGCACACTTTTTCATCAGCGCTCAGGGTGACTTGTTGCGGGGCGCGACGTGCTCAGCAGAAAAGGACGAAGAAGAGGGACACGAATTTGATCAGAATACAGTCAGAGTCTTGCCGCGCTGGGCAACATGCCTGAATACGTGTGAGTAGAGTCACCGCATCAGCTTGAACGTTGTCTGAATGCCTTGCCTCTTCTGCAACCCGCTTGCAGCAAGGTCGCTACTTGCTCCCTGAACCAGTGGGCTTTGGACTTTGATGGGAATAAGGATAGGATATTGAGCTCTATTAGGAGCGCAAAGGCGCAGGGAGCGAGGATCAGGCTGGGACCGGAATTGGAGATCCCGTGAGCAGGTATGATAGGAGTCGATGGGGCAAGAGAGCAGAGCGAGGCTCGGGCAGAGTGCTGATTCGTACGCGCTGTTCATCCTTGACGGCCCCCTCGTTGGACTTTTGCAGCGGCTATGGGGTGAGTTGTGGGCACAAACCATCCGCATACATGCTCTTCAACGCCGTCTTGCTGATTCAGCATCATCATCTCGCGACATGCTCAAGTGCTTCGATCACTTTCTCGAGCAAGACACGACGCTTCACAGCTGGCAGGTGCTGAGGGAACTCCTCCAGAGCGATGCGACCGATGACGTAATTGTGGATACCGGCATGTGAGCGTAGGGAACGGATTTGGGAGAGCATTTCGTGATGCCCAACTCACACTTCCTGTCGCACCTTGCAGGCCGGTGCTGCACCGCTCCGTGCTTTACAATTGCCGCGTGCTCATCCACAATCGACGCATCCTCCTCATCAGACCCAAAATGTGGCTGGCAAACGATGGCAACTACAGAGAGATGAGGTACTTTACCCCCTGGACGCGCAGAGGCGAGACGGACGAGTTCGTGCTTCCAGAGATCATCAGGTCTCTCTCTGGACAAGAGACTGTGAGGTTTGGCGATGCGGTGGTGCAGACTCGCGACACTTGCATTGGTGTAGAGCTGTGCGAGGAACTTTTTACGCCGGATAGGTGGGTGTTCACGTCGCGAAGAGGAGGCCTCCTGAGCGAATACTGTGCTCACTCTTTCTGCACACACAAGCCCTCACATCGCCCAAGGCTTGGATGGAGTCGAAATCTTCCTCAACGCTTCTGCGAGCCATCACGAGCTGCGCAAATTGTCGACGAGGGTGGAGCTGATCAGAGAAGCGACGCTCAAGGTAAGTGCGCGCGTCGACCTCGCCCATGGGAGAGCACTTCTGAGGCAACTAAGTCGCGCCTGGCAGCTTGGGGGCGTGTATCTGTATGCGAACCAGCAAGGTTGTGATGGCGATCGGCTGTACTATGACGGATGTCCCCTCATTGCAGTCAACGGCTCTCTGGTAAGCCAAGGTACGCAATTCAGTCTGCAGGATGTACAGGTCATCTCTGCTACAGTAGATCTGGAGGAGGTCAGAGCCTGCAGGAGCGCAAAGTCGAGAGGCATGCAAGCCGCCTCGAGAAGTCAAACGCATCAACAGGGGCAAGGTTTCGAGAGGATTTTCGTAGACTTTGAAGTGTCCAAGAACACGAGCGAGGCATTGCTCTCTGAGCATCCCAGCAAATCTAGAGATCCATTCTACCATCTTCCAGAGGAAGAGATCGCGTGAGCAGATGTCTGCACGCATGCACACTGCCCAGGTTTGATGCTGACGAACACTGACGGCGCATCGGACAACAGCTTGGGCCCCGCCTGCTGGCTTTGGGACTACCTTCGGCGATCTCGAACTCAGGGATATTTTATACCATTGAGCGGAGGCATAGATTCTTGTGCGACGAGCGTCATCGTGTTCAGCATGTGCAGACTAGTGTACGAGCAAGCGGCGTTGCCAGACAAGAGGCGCACCTACACCAAAGAACAAGTAGACACATCAAAGTTGGTGCTTGAAGATTTGCGAAGGATCGTGGGAGAGAAAGAGGAAAGCGATTGGATTCCTGCTTCTCCTCAGGATGTCTGCAACAGACTTTTCGTGACTTGTTACATGGGCACGAGTAATAGCAGTGTCGATACGAGGAGTAGAGCAAAGCAGCTGGCGCTGGCGATCGGCTCGTGAGCGGATCCGGGGCAATCTCTTAAAGCGCGCAGCTGCGTCCGCTGAAACGCATCGCTTCTTCGCCAGGTACCACATCGACCTGAACATGGATCTCATCATCACTGCCATCGTTCAGCTCTTCACACTCGTCACGAGCAAGACGCCCCGCTTCAAGGTGCATGGAGGAAGCTCTGCGGAGAACTTGGCGCTTCAAAACATTCAAGCTCGATTGAGGATGCTGCTGGCGTACCTCTTTGCGCAATTGACTCCCTGGGTGCGAGGTCAGAGTGGTAGTCTGCTGGTATTGGGCAGCGCCAATGTCGATGAGAGGTGAGTCAAGGTAACGTTTCATGTTTCGTGTCGACGAAGTTCTGACTGCCCCCTGCGTCGCGTCTCGCACAGCTTGAGAGGCTATCTGACAAAGTACGACTGTTCATCCGCGGACCTCAATCCCATCGGAGCGATCTCCAAGACGGATTTGAAGCGCTTCATCGCATACGCGACAACAGCTTTCGACTTGGCCGTGCTGCAAAGCTTCCTGGACGCTGTGCCTACGGCCGAATTGGAGCCCATCACTGCCGATTATGTCCAGGCCGATGAGGTGAGCTGACGTGCGATCCATTTGCACGATCATCTCTAGACTGACTGCTTCTTACTCCATCTGGTCAAGGCTGACATGGGAATGACGTACGACGAGCTGTCGATTTTCGGCAAGCTTAGAAAGGTGTCAAAATGTGGACCGTGGAGCATGTTCAGCAAGCTGGTGGTCGAGTGGAAAGACACTCATTCGCCCACGCAGGTGGCCGAAAAGGTGAAACTGTTCTTCTTCGAGTATGCTAGAAACAGACACAAGATGACGACCATCACGCCTAGCTATCATGCTGTGAGTCGTGAAGCGGCGACGTCGACGTCGAGAATAGGTGGCTCACGTGCCTCTTTGGCTTGCGAATGCAGGAGTCATACAGCCCGGATGATAACCGTAAGTACAGAGAGAGGTGCGCTTCGCTGCTAGCTGCTGACTTCTACTGTCATTGTCTTCTCGCTGCACGCCATCGCTGCACAGGCTTCGATTTGAGGCCGTTCTTGTATCCAGCCAGATTCCCGTTCCAGTTCAGGTTGATCGATCAGCTCTTGGCGAAGCTGCCCGATCGGGGTCGGAATGGAAGGGTAGTGCAATGAAGTGAAGCTCAGGTTAAGGTTACGACCAGACAAAGTTCAGCAGGCTCGCTTCGCGATGTCGTAGGAATCATCGAGATTGTCAAAAGCGTAACAAGTCACCTGGAACAGCTTGCACTCGCGTGCATACTTGTGTTGACATGTCAATCAGCCAGACGGCATGCGCGCTTTCATCATCGGTCGTTCGATCCGCAGGAAGCGGTGCAGTCGCTTTGTAGGAAACAATGATCGGGGGCAAAAGAAAGGGGGCGTGGAGCGTTCTCTAGCCAGGCTGACTCGAAAACAGGTGCTGGCGTTCGGTCTTCTCCCTTCAGCGAATGGGCGCCTCGAGGATTGCGGTTCAGGCGGTTGGCGGCTGTGTTGGAGCCGCGGGGGACGCACTGGGTTGGTTCGCGTTGGACTGCCTTGGGCCGGGAGCCGGATTCGTAGTTCTTGCCTTTTGATTTGCATCACACACTCGCCCACGCTGTCGAGGTCGAGATGAGAGGTTGGAATGTGAATCGAAGAAGCTGCATGAACTGAATCTTGGATCACGAATTACGTGAATAGTCGAGTGTCCAGACAAGACCCTTGACTCATCAAGATCAAGACTCAAGACTCCAAACTCTAAACTTTGACTCAAACTCGTGACTCAAGATTCACGATTGAGAAGACGATAAGATGTCTTGCATGTCTTGCGTCTTGCACGCATCAGACCAACACTCACGTGATTCGGGCGAGCACGCCACACGCGCATGAGTCCAGAGTGAGCCGCACGTGCCGTGCCACGGCGCTAGTCGTGAGTCTTGGAGTCATCCGTGAGTCACTGAGTGTATGCTCACGATTCGTGATTATTACATATTGTACCGGTATATGCATGCACGGCGCCTTGATCGCGTGCTTGAGAGCGAAGAAGCTGATCGGAGCGTCGACGGGCCGTTTGCACTTGAGAGCCACAATCGTGAGTCAGGCCTCTTTCGGCCAACACATCGGCGATCCCCGTTCCCCATCACCATACGTGCCACTGCCACTCGAAGTACCCGGGGCGTAGGGTACCGTCACTCATCCGACCCGCCTGAAGCATGGTCGACCATCCCGGGCAGGAGCAGGCGATGCCAGCCTCCACCTCCCAAGCAGCTCTTCAGATTGCCGGACCCACCTCTCCTCAGTCTGCAGCCTTGGGCAACGCTGCAACTGGCGGTCAATCATATCTGCTGCTGCCCAGCTTCACCCTCGAGTCCGGCGTGGAGCTGCAGAATGTGCCAGTAGCATACAAGACGTGGGGCAAGCTGAGCGCGAGTGGGGACAATGCCATGGTCGTGTGTCATGCGCTCACAGGAAGCGCAGATATCGAGGATTGGTGAGTGTGCATCGAAAGCTTGTGCTGCAGTAAAGCTTCCGCTGAATGCTGTTCTGCTCGCAGGTGGGGACCTCTGCTGGGTCCCAGCCGGGTGTTCGATCCCACTCGCTTCCTCGTCGTCTGCTTGAACGTCCTAGGTAGTCCGTATGGCAGTGCGAGTCCTTGCACGCGAAGAGGTGGGGAGGTCAGAGGAGCGGATGGATCAGAACGAGCAGGCAGGCCAGTCGTGCACGCCGATGCGGACGGAAAGGAGACGGTGCATTGGTGGGGTCCAGAGTTTCCTGCCACGAGCGTGCGGGACGACGTCAGGTGAGCGGCCATACAGCTACCACGACTGGCTCTTTGCCGTGCTGACGCGCGCGTGCAACACCCATGACAGGATTCACAAGCTGGTGCTCGACCATTTGGGTGTTACACAGATAGCGGCAGTCGTCGGCGGCTCGATGGGCGGCATGGCTGTGCTCGAATGGCCACTGTGCTTCCCGGTCCGCTTTCCGACGGAAGAGTCGGCCAGCATACCGCAAGGTGCCGCGGCAAGCACGTCGGCTACAAAAGGAGCTGATCGCAATGCCGCGCAGCCCCAACGACCGTACATTCGAGCCATTGTGCCCATCGCCACTGCCGCTCGACATAGCGCTTGGTGCATATCGTGGGCAGAAGCGCAGCGGCAAAGCATCTACAGCGACCCCGCATACAATCACGGCTACTACATGCCCTCTGCGCCGCCTCGCGCTGGTCTCTCAGCAGCACGTATGGCCGCACTTTTGACCTACCGCAGCAGGGACTCCTTTGAGAGCAGATTTGGTAGAAGGACCGGCGGTCCTGCGAAGGGCAACGGCAAGGTTGCTGCTGCCGAGATTGCAGCGTTGAGCGTCCACGACGCCGCGGGCCAGCACAACGAGGGCAATTCGAGTCCTCGCACGCATGCGGTGGACAGAAACTCGAGCTCTCCCATCCCAACGCTGTCGTCCATTGGTGCTCAGATGGCCGCGGCGAGCGTTTCAGAGGGTCCCAATGGTACTGTGCCACCTTCTTTGCTGGACCCAGCTGCCGCTCGTAACGCTCTCCGTGCTCCGACGAGCACAGTCAATGCCCCAAAAGTGTATAGCGCGCAATCTTACCTGCGCTACCAGGGCGACAAGTTTGTGAAGCGGTTCGATGCCAACTGTTACGTCCATCTCACGCGCAAGATGGACACGCATGATGTGGCTCGAGGGAGGGAGGACTGGACATTTGTGGACGGAAGGGAGCGGGAATCTGAACTGGAACGAAATGAAGACGACGAAGCTCTGGCGAGGGTGTTGAGTCACTTGTCGTCGAGCAGTGCGACCTCTCAGGGACCGCCCCCGCCGCGCGTGCTCATCGTCTCCATCCAGTCAGACGGCCTTTTCATGCCAACGGAGCAGCAGCTGATGCATGATCTCATCAAAGGAAGCGAGCTGGTCACGATCGAGTCTCCGGAGGGTCACGATGCATTCTTGATAGAGAGGTACATGCTCAGCTATCACGTAGGTACCTTCCTCGCCAACGTCTTGTCCAATGACCAGGTGGGACCGAACTTGTATGCGGGCGTAGGTGTTGGCGAGCTAGAGTGGAGCAAGTGGAACGGGGATGCTGGGTACGAGGGCGGGGATGACAAGGTGCAGGTGAAGGAAAGCATATATGGAGAGGTGGAAGACGTGACGCGTTGGTAGCCAGCGGCAGTGAGGACGAGCTGGACGTCATTGACGAAGGAAGACGGTGTACAACGCTGCGTAGAGCCCCCCTCTCCCCCCACCAATAGATCGTTTGGAGCGGGTCCGAAGTATCGCTCTGGGTAAAAAATCTAAGAATTTCTGATCGACGCCAATTTAATGATGTTTTTTGCTCGCCAAGGTAAGGCGCTTGATGACTTGGCGGCGCCTTTTGAGCGAGGTCTAGGGCTGAGACCCACTTCATCGTAGCCCAGCCCGTTGACGGAGCTCGTGCGCCAATAGGCGGAGTGCCGATTCAAGGTTTGAAGGAATCGCGAATCACGAATGCGGATGGACGCCCTGCATTGAGATTCAGATTCATCCTATCCTTGCTTCACTCACGTGGCTAAGAGCTCGTGATGGGCCTGTCTGTACTTTGTGACTCATCAGACTGAAGACTGTAGCCAAGCGTGACGATCACTGATTGCAGAAAGATTATGAATCGCGAACGCGAGTGTCTTTTCACGCAACGGAACTTTAGAAGTCGCGCGGCGAGAGTTTTGCCGAGGCTTTCCTTTCCTTTTTTTTGGTGCAGGACGCAGGTGAGCGTCATGTGCGGCGCCCGAATGGCTGGCTGCCTGCGAGATAAGGCACGCAACGCCACTTGTGGAATACACTCACACTAGCGGCGCACAGCGACGAAGCGAATCCATGCAAACTTTGACGCTCATCTCCTTTTTCCCTGGCCTGCTGATGCTCATGCAATCATATACAGTACAGTAGCAGGCCAGCAGCAGCAAGCAAGCAGCAGGCAGCACGCAACGATCGGCAGCGGCTGTGTTGCCGCGTATGAACGCGTACGCGTACATAGAAGCACAGTCAGAGTCGGCGCGGCGCGGCGCGGCGCATAAGCTGCCTTCCTCCGCTTTGCTGCAAGCTGCAGTCTGCAAGGTCTGCAGACCCTTATCAGCAGTCAGCAGCAGCAGCAGCAGCAGCAGCAGCAGCTTGCAATGTTTGAGATGCAATTGCTTGTGCTGGTGACCGTGCCTTGCGTAGGTGTAGTCACGAGTGTAGTGTAGGTCTTCTCTCTTGCGTTGCGCTCAACTGCTGACGCTTCAGAGGCAATGATCGAGTGAAGCTGCCAATCAATACTCATCACGCGCCACGCCCACGCCCACGCCCACGCCCACGCAAACGCCCACGCAGACGCCCAGGCAGCGGTGTGATGAGCGCGTCACCTCGCCTCGCCTCGCCATGGCATGCATCATCGTGATCGCTGCATGATGCTGCTGCTGCTGATGCGTATATACGCGCGTGGCGTGAAGTGTGCAATGTGAATCGTGAATTCACATTGGTCATTTGTGATTGCTGTTTGCATATATGCCATGCCGCCTCGAGCGCAAAGCCGCTGCACCGCACCCGCACCCGCACCCGCACCCGCACCCGCACCCGCGAAGAAGCGCAAACAAGTCAGCACAGCTAGCAGCAGCAGCAGCAGCAGCAGCAGCAGCAGCAGCAGCAGCAGGCTTGGCGAGCATTCATGATTGTCACACTCGTGACTCACGTTTCACGACTCACACAAGCGCACAGCATATGTGATATACATCTCTCCCGCCCCGTTCTGGCATCACCTCCATCATCCATCATCCGCATCAGCGAGATACGCACACCACCTGCCACCTCGCTGCTTGCCATCGCGCCTATTCGGCTTATCTCCACTCCTTCGACGGCCCCCACTCCGCACCGGCTTCCCCCTCCTCTCCGCTCTCTCATTTCGGCCCTTCAGCGTGTTCCCTTGGCTTGCTGCATGTCATCGCTCCGCATCATTTTCTCGACACACTACCGTACACGCTCAATTTGGACGTAGCCGTAGCATACAACCAGTGCACCTCATCATCACGTCACTGTCAGCATACAATCGACACCTTTCCTCATCATCACCACCGCATCCACCCCGTGAACAATCTTGCTTTGCACGCGGCGTGCTGCGGCCAGACTCGCTCTTCATTGCGCCCATTGCCATACGATATACCGGTAGCTAGCACGCACTGGCGTGGCGAAGGCGATACATAAGTCGCATTGCTGCTTGGAGTGCCTACCTCCTTCCACCACCAGCTCATCTGTCATCGCTGCCACATTCCTGCCCGAATCGCACCGGGCCATGGCTCCTATCAGCAGTGCGATTGCCGGCGAGCCGACAGAAAGCAGCCGCACGCTGGACAGCAATGAATTTGCCGTACCTCGGGCTGTGCGGCAGCACAGCAAGCTGATGAGCCATTCCCCGCGCAGTCTTGGCAGAAGTACTGGCAGCGGCAGCGGCAGCGCCGCATACAGGGCGCCACTCTTGCAGGCAGCTACGGTACCTCGACCTGGCCTGCCTCGCACGCTCTCTTCTTCCTCTGTAGTCGAGACCATCGCTTCCGGTCAGAGTTCGAGGGCGCAAGCTGGCTCTGGACGAGCGCAGGATGCTCCGGCATTCTCGCACAAGTCTCCCTTGAGCGTTCAGACATCCACCGCCGCAGAGCCTTCGCTAGCAGTTGCCGCTCCTGCTCAGGCCTCCTCTGCCACTCGAGCTCCTGCACCATCTTCCACACCCGGCACTTCTAAACGATCGCTTGGGGACGGCGAGTACTTTCCATCAGGCGCAGTCACCGCATCTCAGTCGCGCGCTCACTCTCCCGCACCAAAAGGCGATCGTAGTACTCGCGCTTCACTCCTCAACAGTCCGGCTGCCACTTCGCTCGCAGCTGCCGCTGCCGCTGCGCAGCTCCAGAAGGCCTCTTCGCAGCGCAATCCCGAGTCTGCTGCTCAGTCGCGCGCCCGAACATCGAGAAGCAATACGCTGCAAGATCTGAAGCGCTTCAGCGCGAGCATTAGCGATGCGGCTCAGGCAGCGGCTGGAGCTGTTGCGCCAATGACTGCGCCCGCATTCGGCTCCGAACAGCGAATGTCTGCCGACCAACAGAGAATAGCGGAAGCCCGAAGAGCATCTCACTCTCGAGGGGGATCTCACGGAGAACCATCGAGCCCCACGACACCCACAAATCGTGCGCGCACGGGTGCTACCCAGCAGCCGCCACCGCCGCGACCCCTGACGGAAGCGGAAGAGCGCGCTCGAGCTGCAGCAAAGGCAGCAGAGCAGGCAGCATGGGAGAGGACTCGAGGTGCTGGGAGCGATGTCATGAAATTGCGAGGAGGCGAAGCGGACGAGAGACGGAGAGCTCGTACTCAAGATGACGAGGATAGCGATGATGGCAAAGCTGTGATGGCCAGCGACTGGCGCGAAAGCGATGTCTTGCCTAGTCTCGAAGAGTGCGAAAGGTTTCGATCAGAGGTGAGTGTGGCAAAGAGTATGTCGCAGCGCCTTTACGACCACTGATCACGCTGCCCTCGCTCGCAGCCCGTAGATGTGCCCAGTGCAGATGCCCTGCTGGAGAGGGGCATCTCGGACTACACCCTGCTGCCCCGTATCCTGGGACGAGGAAAATTCTCTACCGTGTTCATGGCTTCCAAGAATGGCGAGCGATCTGCAGTCAAGCACACGGCCCTCTTTCCGCATCATCAGCTCATCTCGACTAGGCTGTTGCGGGAACCGACCCTGCTCGCAGAGCTGCCCCCTCACCCCAATCTGGTCTCCGTCATCGAGACGGTCCGCACGCCTGGCCACTTTTATCTCGTCGAAGAGTATCTCGGCGGATACGTCACGCTGGAAGCGTTGATACCGCTGGTTGGAGGCTCCAGCAAGACGGGTGCTCCGCAGCCGTCTGTGCTGCCCGTGGATGTCGCCAATCGCGTGCTGGACCAGCTCATCAGCGCTGTGCACGCCATTCACTTTCCCCTGCAAATTTGCCATCGCGACATCAAGCCGGAAAATATTCTCATTCATCCCGAAACTTTGCAGCTCAAATTGCTAGACTTTGGATTAGCTACGCACTACAGCAAGAGCGAGCCAAAGCTGAGTACTTGCTGCGGCAGTCCAGCATTCCACTGCCCCGAGATCGTCAAAGCTCTGGCAAGCCCACCGGGCGCCGTCTCCTACTGGGGACCAGAAGTCGACGCCTGGACGTGCGGCGTCACCATGCTGCGTTGCCTCACCGGGGTGCGCTTCCCTCTAGGTGCGAATCATACGAGCTTGCGCAGCATGTCCATCCGCGCTCAACGGGCGGTAGCGACGATTGCGGATGCTTCGCTCAGAGACCGGGTCGGCGCGCTACTAGAGATGGATGGCGCAAGGCGGATGCAGCGGTTTGCAGCCCTGGCGGCAGATCTCGAACGCGAACAGGGCGAGCCGGATCGCAACCAAAAGGCGTTCAAGAGCACGACTTTTATACCGATGGAGCCCACGCATTCTATGCAATTGCCTCTTCTCACTGGACCCCTGTCGCGCCGCGCGACTCTCTCGCCGGGCCGAACGACGCCTGGCCCCTCGAGTCGATTGGCGACACCCGTCGGATCTCGCGCTGCCAGTCCTGCGCGCACACCTCGAGGGGAGGACGGCCCTGATCAATCCTCTGTACCGCCAATCGTACTGCTGAACCCTACACTTCAGCAGCCTCAACGCGTCCTGAGCTTCATCAAGTACTGCTTGCGATGCGCCGGCATCCTCTATCACGCCTGGCCGGATTTCTCCGCTCCGCCGCTAGAGCCTTCTACGCCCGGCGCAACGTCCTTGGCAATGTTCAATTCTTGGAATTCTGGACTAGCACGAAGTGCGAGCGGAGAGGTTTCCGGATTGGCGAGCCCAACGACGCCACTCTATCCACCCTCTGGTTCTTCCGTCGCCAGCGAGAGAAGCGATGGCTGGGCGCACGTGCACATTCTGCAGTGCGTCATCGAGCTGCCAGAGCCAGAGCCGGAAGAGTCGGACAGCGGGTTCAGTCTGGTGCAGAGCATCATGGCTGCGTTTGGCCGGAGGCCGTCCAACAAGCGCACCATGTCCACTCCTGACAAGCCGAGATCTACTGATCGGGATCCTGCCAGAGCACCAGGCACGCCTGGATATGCCAAAGCCACTCCGGGCGCCAGTGGAAGGCAAGGCATGATCCGCTGTCTCTCCTTCTACATCATCCTGCGATTTCCAAAGATGACGACGTCTAGCGGTCGTCCAGCGTTCTCTAGGCAGACTTCGCTCGCTCCCAAGCGACAGCGCGCCACGTCCTCTGCTACTTCTACCGCCGCAGGGTCAGAGTCACCCACAGTATCTCGAGGGCCTAGTCTTGATGTCGACACCAGCCCGTTGACCGTGCGCCCCGACACGAACGAAGAGGGTAAAACAAGAAAGCCTCGAAGCCGCCCTCTGAGCTCCCATTCCTCATCGCACGTCCCCACCAGAGACTCTATCACTGGCGAGAGTCCCCAGTTGACCGTCGAGACGATTGAGCAGCTCAAACGGAGTGCGGGGATGGGGCAGCCGAGATCTCCCTCGTCTTCTCGCGCCCCTTCGCGGACTCGGAAGCAGAGTCGCGCTCCGCGTGCTCGCAAGGCAAAGGTCTTTGTGCAGGTCACCGACGAGCGCGCTCTTGAGGCGGTCCGCAATGCACTGAGCGTCGGCGGCACTACCGAAGGTTCGGATGAGGATCCGCTCCGGGAGGATGATGAGCCCGTGACGCCGCAAAAGGGAGATCAGCAGAGTCGTCGGAAACATCCGCACCGGTCGACGTCTAGCCTTTCTGTCGCCTCCACTCTGCGCACACCGAATGAAGCTTTTGGGTTGCAAACACCTAGAAATACGTCTGTCGATCGCGCGCATCGCGCCAGTGTCGGATTTCCATTCCCGTCGCGTGAAGACGAGCAAGAGACAAGAGGTCGACGGGGAAGGGACAATAACGAGGTTTCACGTGGGTCCCGTGCACCTAGTCAGCTCTCTACTGTGCCACTCAAGGAGGAGTCGCCGTCGGCAAGCGATGGTCTGAGACAAGCTCTGGTCGGCCTATCTGCCGCTCTAGACTCTCTGGTCGGTCCTTCCAAGCTGCCAGCCGCGGACAAGGTCCCGGAGAGTGCCGTATCCTCGCAAGAGCCCTCGCCGCTTCAGTCTCCCCGCCAACCGACTTCGCGAAGCTCGAGCGACACTTCGTCATCAGCTTCAGCCAAGGGCGCTGCAGAGGCATACGAGCAAGCCAGGACTCTTCTGCAGGGCCTCAACAAGCACCTTTCTCACGCAGAGCGAGAAGGTGCACCTGCACTAGAGGACATCATCTCGCCAGAAACGTTCACCCTCTTTAGCACGGTATCGCCAGCCATGGGCATATGCGATCGGGAACTGGAGGGCTTGCCAGCGGTGCCAACCGCCGTCGCTCAGGAAGTTGCTCTCAGCGGTCTCGCTACAGCCGCCTTGCAGATCGTCGCTCGGCATGCAAGCCCGCGCGAGCTCTTTATGGCTGCTCAAGAGCGTTTGGAGATGCTGAGCTCGTTGTCAGATCCTCAAGGCAGCGGCGCTTCCATGCGCGAAGCCTCCGAGTCGGCAAATCAAGGAAACCAATGGCGAGTCGAAGTGCCCGATTTTGCACGAGCCAAGGAGCCGCACAGGCCATGGTGTGCCGCTATGGAGAGTTGCGGCATCATTGCTCTGCTCGCAGTGATTGTGCCTCGCATACGGACAAAAAAGCCGCGCAATTTCATCCAGCCGCTAGTGCATCTTCTCCCAAGGTCTATCAGCAGCTGCTTGGCGAATGCGCCAGATGAGGATAGCGCAGCTGACTCACGCAACAGTCGCTCGGCTTGCTCCGCCTCGATTATGCTGGCAGTCTGCCATCTCGTCAAGGCCATCGCTGATTGGGAGGCTCAGAGCACGGGAGCCTCTCAGATTTCAGGGCCGAGCGGCGAAATCCTGGAGATGCTTTTCGGCGTCTTTTTGGCTTGCGCTGCGAGCCTTCCGAAGCAAGTGGATCCTGACGATGCGGAGCGCTGCTACGCTGCTGCAGAACTCCACTTTCGAAAGAGGCACCCACGCTTCACTCTCTCGTCTGGAGCGTCCGCTCCCGAAGCGGTTACATCGCCCAGCCGCTCGGCTACACTGCGCGCAACCTCCAATGACGAGGTGTGGCAAGCGTTGCGCGGCACAACGACCGCTCTACATCTCGAGCTGCAGAATCTGGCGTTCAAGCGGGAAGCCCCCAGTCCATCGGCAAAGGAGGACGATGGCATGCTTCAGCGCAACGCAACTATGAGCGTGGGCTCGTTCATGCTGCTGGTCCAGCTGCGCGCGCGCAAGCTCAGCTCTGTCCCCGCATGGTCGCCTGACGATGCCGAACGCTCCATCTCCGATGCGATGCCCATGCTGCATGCATGCTTTGGCGCAGGACCTCCCACGTCTTTGAGCTCATCTGGCACAGGCCCACCAAGCAGCGGCGAGTTGCTGGCTGATTCTGCTCAGCTCTGGCTCATGTGGTGCTTTGAGGCGCTCCAATCGACGCATCTCCAAACCGAAACTGTGTACGTGCTCTCGCAGAGCTTGTCGACGCATGCTTCACTTTGCTCTCGTCCAGTGTCGCGACAGGTCAGCCTGCGCTTGTTCTACGATCTCTTGTCTATGCACGCGCCTCTCGAGCTGGCTATGGACGTGCTTCTGGATAGCTTGACGTATTCACCCTTCCCGCAGCTTCGAATGGCCGGCCTGACTCTGCTGCGCGAGATGCTTGGCGAAAAGCTCGGCAAGGGCAAAGATGTCAAGGGCGTGCAGCTTCTGGAGCGTTTGCGACGGGTGGTATTCGTCATGCCGTCCGGAGCGCCCGAGAGGGAGCTCAGCGCGCATGCCTCATCAGACCAAGTAGAGCAAGCACATGCTCTGCTGCGCTCTTGGTTGGAGGAGCAAGGACCTTGGATCGGCGAGTGTTGCAACTTGCTCTATTTTTTGGTCAAGCGAGATCGCGAGAATGAGGTGAGTGGGCGGCGGGAGCATTTTCGCCCCTCTCGACTAAAAGCCGACTGCCTTACACACTAGCGATTCACACCCTGCCCTTAACCCTCGCAGACTGGCATCCACAATGCGGACAGCTTATCAGCAGTCGAGACTGCTTTGACGCGCCCGCTCAAAGAATGGCTGAGGGCATGCTCAGAGCGTCTGTGCGCTGTATCGGCCCATCGAGATTTTGAAGCGATGCGCACGCAATTGGCGTGCATCCAGCTTGCCTTGGAGCGAGCTGAGGAGGCCATTTTGGACGTCAAGAGATCATTGTAATGTTATGTTCGGAGTAATGCACTACAT